TATATATATAATATTTATAATATATAGGCCTATGTATGTATATAAGTATTTATATAGGCCTATATATAGTTCCTGTTTATATTGATAATTAAGATAATAATTGTGCTAAAGATAATAAGGTAAGATATTGTGTAACATGGTTTTATTGATCTTGTAAATATTTTAACGAAAGTATAAAAAAAAGCCATGAAGATACCGATAATTAAACCTCCACCTATAAGCTAGATTTATGGCAAGTTATAGAATAGCTAATGCTAAAAGTTTAATCGGAATGGAAGTGTAATCTGAATAGTGCACTAGGAGACCTACTTGATAGTGTTTTGCTTCACTTTTAGGACTCCTGTCTCAGCCTGCTTAAGATATTTTATACTTTTAATATGCCGTATTGTAACTGGTTGTTGTTTTTATGTATTTTACTGAGACAAAATAAATGAAATGAAATGAAAACAAGTATTGGGCACGAATGGCAAGCGCATTGCACGTAAGGGTAAGCAAGCTAATCTTACAGGAAAATGAGGTTTTATGTTCTAGAAATTCTTTACCGTTACATTATTCTACAAGGTTACATAAAACTCATCTATAGCTGTTGAATTAATAGATAGACATCAGCTTCAATAACATCACGCTAGTCATTTTAAAACATATTTCTCGCGACCTTCAATAAGGAGAAGGTCACACGGTTAACTTCCCGTCTCCGACTCGGTGGAGGTCGCATATCTAGCGCTATCGATACCAATAACCAAAGTAGGTGGGATCTAATTAAGGCCTTAGCATATCCAGGTGTTAGGTTTAGTTTTCTCACCTGCATTAACACCTGTGTAGGTCTTGCCTATGGTAGCGCCCTGCTTCACCGGTGAACGCAGTGTTCGTGTCAACGACAACAAACTCGAAAAGCATTTAATGAACGGTTAAGCTCTAAAGTAAGGTATGTCATGTGTTTGAATTAATATAATTATAATTTTATAGTAGTTATTTTCATATCTATTATCAGGCTCAAAAAGCCTATGTTTTGAGCGGCAGTCGGCAGTACCCCGACACAAAGGAACCCCAAAGGGTCACCGACGGGTACATCTTACCCCATACCGTCGGCCTGAATCAGAGCTCGGAATACTGGTTGCCAAAACATTGTGAACAAACTAACTACAGTAGATTCCCGGTAGCCAACTTGACCCTAGCTTGTTAACCCATTTCGCTTAGCCCCGGATTTCAACCCTGGTAAAATTAGCCAATGAGGCATACCGTAGTAACCAGGCCTCCAATCCATATAAGAAAATATATTTTCATTAGTTCATAAAAAGTACAATGTGCTTTTCTAGGAATTATTCATTGTTATAAATAGGCCTATTATTATCGATTTACCTTGAAGAAAATTTTAAAGAGAAAAACAGCTAATGTTTTTCGATCTGGAACTATATAACGCCTTCATTTGTTGTAGGCCTACTTTTGTTTTTGACACTGCAATTGTCTTGTGAAAGGGATGATTACGTACCACTGGATTGGATTGGAATGGGTTTCCTCGGCGTGCTACATACCAAGGGCAACCCATGAAAGTCGTCTGTGGGTCCTTCTGGTGGTGAATTGGGCAGTACTATACATTAAGAGACAATCTCTACTCTTTCCCGAAGAGTGTACTGCGTTATTTAAGGTGCTCATGGACCATTTTGCACACGGGACCAACGGCTTAACGCCTCATCCGAAAGTCGGTGCGCGTTGGAAACCGGAAACACAAGAATTGAAGATGGGAATTGAACCGGGGACCAAGTGATTTGCACGGCTCAGAGCATACACAGTGGCTACTACTAATTTGGCCGACTGAGCTAGCTTCTTAGCTGCACTGTACAAGATGATATACCGGTATTCTCTATTGGCAATCCTATATCATGTGTATGCCTAAATAAATAATTATAGGGGAAAAAAAAACCGTCCTGAATGTCTTTAAGAAACAGTCACTTTTATGATACAGATCTCCAGGATGTAATACACCATGTAATAATAATAATTAGTTCAATACCACCCGCGTGTCACAGTCGCCCTAACTTGATGACACAGAAATAGAATTAGGCCCTATAAAAAAAATATTAGTTTATCACCCCCCTCCCTCATCACTTTTTGAGAAATTCTGATTTAATTTTTTTTCTCAATTTTCAAACCATCGTTTTTTCCATCTTTTTCACTTAAAAAGCTTGATTTCTTGCAAATATGTTTACTGGTACAACAAAAACATTCTTTTTAAATATACATTTGATTCCATCCCTTTGACTTTTTATATATTCGTCCTTAAACATTAATTTACTTGTGAACATCGGTAAAATGGGAGGGGGGGGGGAGAGTGGGGTTAGCAAAAAAAAAACTCTCTCCTGATCAGTTTTTATTCTTTGATATTGTGAAACTAATATTTTTATGGAGCCTAAAGCTTTGTCTACACTACCAAATTATATGTGACAAAAAACTGTGATGTGCCATATATGGGCACGATGACGTCATATAACATATTATCAAATTGTATCAAAAAGAGTTGAACGTGTTCAACTCTATATTTCATCAAATTTTATGTGATGCTTGATTTTTTTCAAAACATAGTTACTGACTAACCCTATCTTGACCATACTCTATTTTTTGCCACCATGGCAAAGTGTAATGTTCGTATACTGTCGTGTGATTGGATCGAGATCTCAAGGCAAGTAGCCGACAAAAGCGACAGAGTGCATAGGCCTATGGCCCATACAACGCCACAATATCCCGAAGATTCGAAATTGATTTTCTTCATTGTTCCTTCATTAAGTAATTCCGTTGTAGATTACTGTTGATAACTACTGTGGATAATGTTAAGCTCGGCTTAAGTGAGGGCTTCAATGTATTTTAAATTTTTCGTTGCAGTACAATAACGTCGTTGTAGACTACCGATGTGATCTATACAGCTATTGAACCATGCATGCGAAGTGGGTAAACCCGGACCATCGCGTGGCCTACATTATGACGAAAATAATGCCATTTGAATTACTGATTGTACAGATAATATGTCCTTTGTCAATTGTTGAACCAATGTCTACTGTTTCTTCCCCTGTTTATTACACATACTCTGTTTAAGACACGCTATACAGTACCGTACCGTACCTAACCTAGCATTCATAATACTGTACGTGCGTTTGTCTGAGTACTGTGGAAATTATAAAGGTGTCCTCTGGGCGTGGTTTGTTGTGAACGTGTTTTAAAAACCTGGCACGGTATGAGGACATGAGGTTGACGCGATTATAACGTATTAATTAATAATATAATGTAATAAACACATAGAGGCCTACGTAGTGATTTATATATGAACACGATGCTTGATTCAGGATTAAAGTCAACAGAATATTACAAACATGTTACTCTGAAGGGCAAAACGCAAACAGACAAAAAAGAATTAAAATAAGTATAGTATTGGTTAGATGAAAGACAAAGTTTCGTCGATCCAGACTTTAAGGGCAATGTTTTTTTTCCAAATTCTATCTGGGTTTAGTTAAGCATCTTATTTGATCTGTGTGACCTTTTACAATTATTATGTTATACTTTCCATTGAAAACCATGTCATACCTTTGCAACATTAAAGTCTGATATGGTAATTATGTCATGTTGGACAGAAAAGAGTATATATTTGCTCTTATAAAGTTACTGGATGCAGTACAGACGTTTCCATAAAACCGAATTCTGTGATATTTCTGATATAACCAGATTGTTCCTATACAATGTAGATGAATATTCACTTAAAGTGAATACTAACTGATTACGATTATTTGTTAACAAACAATTGTTTGAATGAACAATACATACAGATATACGAAGAAGATAATTACAGTAAACTTAGATCCAACCACAAAGTCAGTGATCATTCAACCATGAAGACAGAGAACTGTGTGGTAGAGGAGGCTAAATGTTAGATGCCTAACCTTAGTTGCCATGTGGTTTCTGGTAAAGCCCGATTTGTTCTTTATTATGTTATGGACGCTTTCGGATCAAATTTATGTATATTGATTCCCAGCAATAATCAAACGCTAATACATTTATTTCCTCACTTGACGCCCTCTACCGGATCAATAGTAGCACTAAAACCCTCCTTTTGATATTCAGGCAGCATTCGTGTACGTAACCAATGAATATTTAATAAAAACTCGTTTCTACAACTAGCTGTAAAATTAAATACTGTAATGATGCTCTTTCTTTGCTCTTTCCGCATCTGTTAGTTCTATGTAGGGCCAAAAAGACAGATGCTGTCGGGATGGGGATTTCTGAACATTCCAGAAGAAAACATTGAATATAAAACTCACATATTATATATTATATCACTTAAATGCAAAGGCCTACAGTAGGCAATTCAGGCATCTAGTAAAATGTTGAAAGTAATAAGGCATAGTAAAATATGTTCATCCTACCTGCCTGATAAGCCTGTGTCGCTAACAATAATAACCTTGGTGTTGTCTTGCTGATGCGGATACAGTTGGCGATAATTATACGTTATTCGAAGGTTCTCTGATCCGTTGCTTAACTCGATTTGCAACCTATCAAACAAGCCATTAAGGATAAAACATAAATAATTATCAGAAAGCAGGTTGTAGTTTTTGTCCAAAAGAATAAAAGCTACAATGATTCAATAGAACTAATGACTAATTCATTTTCATAGCGTTTAAGTTTCTTATCGTTTTAGAGGAAAATATAAATACTTACTGGGAAGATCAGAGTATGCCCGACCCTGTAGATACCATATTTGAAGCTTAATTGCCAGTGAATATATAATCATTACATTACGAAGGTAACCTGAGCTAAAATATTTCGAGGTGTGATGGATGGCGCATAGGATAAGTCACGTGAACATATACAAGTGATTGACATTAATTGAAGAAGTACCAACTACAGCCATTGATAAATTAAGGTGAATCTCGTATTCCAAAGTTCGCCTTATTGATTTAAAAATCTTTCGTATGCCAATTTATTTGTTTTTATGTGGGAAATTGTTGAAGTTACGGAACGATTCGTTTTTTTGTTTATTATGTTATTCTTGCAACGGATAATAAACCAATCTTGTTAAACAAATAACGATACAGTACTACTCCTTCAGTATTAAATAAACGATTTAACTTTGTAATGAAAATAAACATTGATTGTCAACCGATGTTTTAATAATTTCTGATCTATTTCGCACGGAAAACAATATTTAAGGTCTGGATATTAGTAAAAACACTGTTAGCAACAATTTAAGCTGCAAACCTGGATAATTAAAAACGAGATATTTATGCAATCTTCGCGGCTCGAACTATAGGCCTACATCGCAATTAGGCGAGATGTAAATAAACAGTGATCAATGTGATTGGGTTTCATGACCTGGATAAGTCGAGACTTTTGAGACCAATATTTGAACTCAAGAGTTAAACTTTTTCGGGTGTCACCTCAGAAGGAGTGTATATAGTTTTCTATAAACATGTCGATTACTGACCCAACTTAAGTTGTTCGAGACAGTTTTGTGCGATCAATGTCGGTCCAACTCTACGCACTACTGAACAAGTCGCCCAACATGACGCTGGACAGCCGAAAGACATTTGTGGGGCCTGATTAAGTCATGGACAAATTGTGTTATCTTTGAGGCCCTAACTGCCTTAACTCTTGTGAATTGAGCAAGCAAACAAGCAAGTAGGCCTAACAGTTCTATAGTCCAAGCAAGAACGCAAACAAATTGGCGACAGTCAATATTGTATCGCAACGGCAATAATGCACCGTTGCGGGCGATATTGAGAAGTATTGATGTAGAAAAATTACATAGGTAAAAAGTATGACGTCACGACTGAATTTTAAATGATTATAGAACTTATGCTATATGTTATGTTTACTAGCTGCATATATACTTTTAGTAAATGGACTTTAGAAGATATCGGTGTAAATCACAACCATACCTAGTGGCTTGGGTTGGCAAGTAGCTGACCCAAAAGCCAGTAACATTGGCCCTGAGCTGCATTTCGGATAATTTACATCTAAAACTATGCCTTCAATACTTAATATGCTGGGAATATGTGATGTTAGCCGGTAACAATTTGACAAAACCAATTCGAAAAGAAGTTGCACTACACAGTTATTTGGAGCTATGGACAGATTCAAAATATCATGGGACCTTTCATGGTGATAGACTTTTCCTATCATAATAAATCAGCAACTTTTTGGATATAGCAGGGTACTGTTTCGAAAGAAAGAAGACAATATTCTTGTTTTCATGGAAGAGAGCAATAGTAGCATACACCCATGGATTTGAAGCAGCACTCCGGCCTTAATGATATTCAAGATGCTATGCAATGTTGTCAATATTCAGCATTTTTCTGAAAAGATGTCGGGAAGAATGGAAATGAGTCGACAATAGGATATGTCACTCGACATCCCTCCACAAACGCTTACCACCGCATGCCTGAATGCAAATTTCGAAGGATAGGCCTAAACCACGAACAAAAAAAAAAAAAAAAAAAAAAAAAAAAAAAAAAAAAAAAAACAGTCCCTCATAAGCTAGTAACTGTAACGGTGCATCGAATAATCTATACTCAGTGATAAAATTCTTCAGTGAACATTAATCTGCATTGACTATTTAGAAATGCAACTACACAACATTAAATGCAAAATTTACTATATTTGGATTGGATTGGATTGGATTGGATTTATTCAGTGTAAACACCAAGGATAGCCCACGAAAGTCCAGAAGAAGACTTATTTCTAGTGGGGTGCTTCTGGTGGTGATTGGGCAGTACACCGGGAGACAATCCCCTACTCTTTTCCGAAGAGTGTACTGCGTTCTTTAACGTGCACATGGGTTATAATGCACACGGGACCAACAACTTAAACGTCTCATCCGAAAGACGGTGCGCTAGTAACTTGTATTTCAGCGCTCTAGCTGAAACACAAGGAGAGGCAGCGATGGGAATTGAACCGGGGACCTAGAGATCTCCACGGTTCAGCACACACACAGTGGCTACCACCAGATTAGCCGACTGAGCTCGGTCATCTTGATTTACTATCAAGACGGTCGAATAATGTTCACGATGGATTTTCTTGATGACTAGAACGGGATTGTATGTTAGATTATTGGGGAAAATTTTGTAATGATTAGCCTATTATATGATAGGTATGAGAGATCAACCGTGTATTAAAAATGTCAATGTGACCTAATCATTGTACAATGTTGAAGAGACATTAAGCCCGGAATCTTTGTTTTTGATTTGCTATAAAATTCCTTAGCTGACGCAACACCCTCAGAAAAGTGCTCCAGACTTGAAGCGATGATGTGTACTTTGATGATCAGCAATCAGCCTTCGCACGCATAAATTCTAGTTTATTCGTTTACAAGTGAGATATTATTTTGTCTTTTTTTTGCTAACGAGAGAATCATTCATCAACATGTGGATCTACTTTAGCGGCTGTTGACGATGATATTCTGGACATCACCGCCGGAAAGATATGCACTAGTTTATTGCGTCTTCCTTCGTCACGTTCCGTCGGTAAGCCTAAACGAGGTGGTCCACTGCAGAGCACTGTGCGATCTTGCCGATCAAAAATCGAATGAAATCACATAAACGTATCGTAGCATTTTTTAAAGATAATAATCATCGTGACCTAATTATTTAAAAATTCCAATGATGTTTCAAACTTAGATGCTCAGATGATAATAATTCCATCATCTCTGGGTCAATTTGGCGGCGAATATTGAACTTCCTCCACTTAATTTAGAGCACAAAAGACAATGTTACGTAGTTCTTCTATTCTAAACACTGTTAACTTGCTGATAAATCAGGAACAGAATTGAGAATGCTACAACACATCTACAATCAAACGTAATAACTGAATATGGGTTATCTTTAATAAGCATCTTTTTCAATTTGATTCAGTAGCTGATAAAGATTATTATGTGGGCCTGAAAAGTATCGTAAACTTAAGTACAGTAAACTTAACTTCCTTACAATAGCCTTATTAATTCAATGTTCATTTCTATCTTTTTTTTTCATCCAGATAGTTTTTTATAGCCTTATTTTTAAATTTTCAATCATATATGGTCTTATAAGGATGAGCATCCTAACTAAGTCACAACCTCATCTGCAATGGATTTTAATGCAAATATATTATATATAGTTAAAAGCTTGCGGTACACCACGTAGGTAGTTCTAAAGAGAACTGTATGTATTATACTGTACGATACGCATTTACAAGTTTACCATAAGGCCTATACATGTTTACATGTTTATACGGTACGTTTACGTTTCAATGCGTACATAACATTTATTACGCGTTTACACATAATATGCTTATATAATATACCGGGCAGGCTTACAAAATGTCCCACGTACCGTATAAATGTAGTACACGCTTTGATGAAAAAGCATGGTGACTTTTTTATGAGCCCAATAAAACCAGAGGTAGCTGAAATGGGTCTAAATAGAGGCCCCATACAGTTACAGGAACTAATTAAGTTATTACATATTGTCTTTACAGAACTCTATCTTGAAAAATTATTTTTCTCTGTAGGCTATTTTGCAAGATTATTCCTTAATTTAATATAATTCTATCAGCTGAAAATTGATTCGTTTGCATTACCCACCTGCTAAAGTGGTGTTTCAACGCTACCTTCTGCTTTGGATAAATATTAATAAATGATTCAATGCAATCGTACACACTTAATCCTTACACAATTATTACAGTTGTTAATATGGTCAGTATGGTTGGTGTGACCCTCTAACATGTCAATTAGCACACCCAAAGGTAGGTTGACTCATCAAAAAATTGAAATATTACAACGGTAGGTTTATTTCGATTCAAAAATGTGTTTATTAGCACTGACTAAGCATTTTTATTTTGCGTTGAAAATGTTTGTAATTTTACAGACAGACGCACAATCCCACCGTGAAATATTAAGAGAATTGGGTGTTGAGAGATGGAACCTGTGTGTTATGGATAAATTACAAAGTACTGACAAATAGGCGTATAGTGGGCGTTAAGCTCCACCAATTTAAGTTCCCACAAAACGGCAGCGAAACCT